CTGAACCAGCAACCATGGAGAAGAGAACCAAAAAAAAAAAAATCAAACCTGAAAAAAATGTAGAATTTGTATTCTGGCTGGATCTTGGTAGGCAGGCCGGATCTGGGCAAACGGGCCGGCTCTAGGTAAACGGGCTGGATCTAGGTAGACGGGTCGGATCTGAGCTAGATCAAAACCAGGTTTATGCTATCCCGATTTTAGTAAATTAGGATTGGAATAGCATAACCGCGTAACCAAACACGGTTGTTCTTCTTCACAACCTCAGAGACAGATGCCCGCAAGCACGCAGCAGTGACGGCAACCCAATCACAAGCAGCGGCCGACTCAATAAGCAGTGACACCACACCGAATCTCTACCTTTGCAACTTCTGGCCAAAAGAAAAGACGAATCGATGAAGCCTCACCTCTGCAAATAACGACAGTAGATGTCGGCGAGCTTGTTGACGGCCAAAGCTGTAACAACACGAGCAGCCAAATGGGCTTCAGGTTTGACGACGACGAATGAGGCTTCAAATCTGAAGACGACGAATGAGTTCTCAATCCTGTTGGCGACCAAACTTCCGGCATAGACACCAACACCATAATCACGCTTCCGATCACGATTCCAATCTTATACAATAACAACACAATTGCCATTTCCCACACCCATGAATTCATATAGCTCTGATACCATGTTCGAATTCATGTGTGTGTGTGTGTGAGAGAGAGAGAGAGAGCAAAGCTGTGTATTGTATATGTATTAACCCTAAGCCAACAGAGGCTTATATAAAGGAAAAAGTAATAACCTAATTAAACAATGTTACCTAATTACACAATGATCCTAACAACTATGGGTAATTACATAATGAATCAAAACATAAATATATATATACATAAACATTCTAAAATAATACAAGAACTTTGATATATCATACTTGGGGAAGACAAATCATGCTACATCGTAGTTTAGCTTAGTTAGGTAGACGATTTGTAACAACCAAAGATGAACTATGCTTAGTTCTTGACTTTTATGTGCATCTATCTTCTTATTGATTCCGTTGTGAGCGTAAGCCACACGAATATTTGCTATGCATAACATAGTTTTCCCCATGATAAACGCAATTACCCATGGTTATGAGGGGATGGTGAAGTCAATTCCCTAGTCATCTCTCTATTCACTCATTTAATCACTTTTGATTTCCATTTTAGTAATCAATTTCAATTGCTTTAGTTTAACAAACAACAATCAACCATTCAATCCCGAATTAAACCGGAAGTAATCTTGCAAATTTAACAGTCATAAGCTTCACAATCCTCATGGTTCGACACCCTTTACGTAGTCGTATCCTTCAAGGATGCGTGCTATTGCAAGTGATTTTTAATTAAAAAAAAATATCATGTTTTGAAACACATCAGTAGACAAACAATTCACGACTCATATACCTAGGGAAAAAGAAAAAAGAAAAGACACGACTCATATACTTGACGCATAATACTTCCAGTCTTCCATAGAGGAGAGGACATATTAGTCATGGTAGAGTGACTAATAAACTTGTTGTGGTATCTTAATCATGTTGGACTTGCCATTATTTAATCTAAAATCAGAATGGTATTAATTCATGTATGGGTCATTACAATCTACCACCCTTGAACAAAATTTCGTCCTCAATATTTTCAATGATATTTGGCCCAAGTTTTGACCAATATTTTCAATGATCTAATTACTTGACTATATCTCAAGAGCCGTTTCGTACAAAACCTAGCCCCTTTTTCGGCAGTTTCCTTGTCCTAGTGATCTATCATGCAGACAAGAATTTCTCTCTTCCCTTATTAATTTAGCAGTCAATTATTCGAACTTTCCATACATACACTAAAAATTTGTAAGAAAAGTAAATATACTGAGCTATTGCCTTATTGATCAATAATGAATGTGTGAATATGCGTTAGTAAAATATTCTTTTTTCCCAATATACTCTGTGTGTGTATATAAAGTGATAGAATTCCATTATAAAGTTTGTATGGTCAAATTCCTATTTAAAAGTATTATAATCTATTCCATATTACTTCCACAGAGGAGAGAACATATTAGTCATGTAGTAGGGTACTAATAAACCTATAATTGTGTCTTAATCATGTTGGACTCACCAATATTTAATCAAAAATTATAACAGTATTAATTCAGGTACAGGTCGTTATATTTTACCCTTTCAACTCGTGCACTTGGAAGGATTTAGAAGATATGAACTTGCAACGAGACCATTCGTTAAATCCCCGAAATCGTCAATGTTAACCTAAGAGGTGTAGAGAAACACTACTTAGAATGCAAACAACACTAAGAAAAATAAAATAAGATTAGCACCAACGTTTTCAATCCCATGTGAAGTATCAAATTTTGCCCCTCCTTGTGTTCAAGTGGGTGCTTTCAGTCATTATCAGACCTGGACTCACTATGGATTTCAAGACAAGGGTTCCACCATGAATTTGATGTTGCTAATTCAAACGCTCAGCCTTTCTTGAAAGGCATTGGCTTTTATCTAGTATAAAGTCCTAATGAATAATATTTATCATAACAGTGAGATACAATTTTGAAAAAGAAAAGTTTCAATACCAAGTATTGATTAGAAGGATCTTCAACCAATCATTTCCTCTGCACTGTTGCTCTTACAGAAGAGACAGATATTGGAATACCCTCAATAATATACTCCTGCCTATTTTCCTTCCTATTTGCTTCCTCATTAGAAAATATCCTTTCTTCTATATACTCATTTAGGGCTTTTAATATATGTCATTCATTTTGTATGTCCCAGTCTGTTCTTCATAAATCATCTTTAACACAGAAAATCCCTCTCCTCCAAATCTGAAGTTATTTTAAAAAACATGTCCCAGACTCCCAGTTTTCCACGATGATAACAAAAGAGGGGAAGTTTTTCATAAGAAAACAGGCCCATCGTATCTCTTTTTCCACCAATTTCATTCTTTCACCCTTTAATAGCTTCGTGAACATGATTTCCCACTCTAGTTCAAATACAACAACCCCCTTCAATTTTTCTCTCTCTAATTTCTGTCTTTTCAGACCTGGTGAAACTTTTACAAATCTTTATCCCACTTCTTCCGTGGTGTATCAAGAGGAAAAACTTATATGCTTGGATCCACATATAAACTCCATATTTCTGAAGTTCAAATTTCTTTGGCATGATCTTAATACAAGATGGTTTTCAAAACTAAAACCACCAACATCAGTCTCTCTTAAGTTCAACTCTTTGTGAAAGACAAATTGAATAATCATTCCTACCTAGTACCCAACATGAGTAATCATAGATCATTCTCACATTCCCAAACTCATTCCAATGATTTCACAGTAACACTTTACCAAATAGGCTTTTTTCACACACAAGGCTTCATGTCTTCGTTGTGTAGTTCCACCACTTCTCATCCTAGCAGAGGATGAAATTTTGAATTTGTTGATGAAGGGATTCAGTAATCCTATAAAGAATAACTGCCCACCATTCCAGAAGGAGAGAAAAAAATGAACTGAGAAGAAATAACAGTATAATAATGTGAAAAAAGGGAAGAAAAGGAAAGGATGTGGTAAGAAAGAAATAATTGAAGAAAGGAGGACTACAAAGGAATTAAAACACAAGTAAAAGAAATCCAACAAGAATGGGACAAAGAAAGGATAAAAAGCATCAGAGTTTAAGGAAACAGATGAATAATAGGAAGGTAATAGAATGGAAATACAAAAGGAGGATGAATAAGAACAGTCTAAAACAAAATTAAATAATATGAATCACATGCGAAGATATCTCATCATTACCAGTCTTTAATATGAATCACAAAAATAAATAATATGAATTACATGCGAAGGTGAATTTATCACTTTGAAGGCTGGTGGTAATGATGAGATTAGTTGGATTCATGGTGACTTCAGTTTGAAGAATGCTTGGAAAGTGGTCAGGTGGAACGGTCTCTGCTGGAAATATTACAGACCTCGGGTTGCTGTGGTTTTTGCAATTATCATGCATAATAAGAATTTGTCATTTGTTAATTTACAGAGGAGGGGTTTTCAGGGTCCATCAGTGTGCCACAATTGCTTCAAGGCAGAAGACACTAATAATCATTTATTTTGCATTTGTGAGTATGCTAATCAAGTGTGGCAACAGGTTGTTCTTCAGTTCAATATTACTGATAGGAGATTTCAAGAGCTGAGTTTGTTTGTGGAGTGGATAATTTAGTGTACACAGGGTAAGGGAATCAGATCTAAGTTGTTAAAGGGGCTGTTTGTGGTTTATGTTTGGAAGATTTGGATGGAAAGGAACTCAGCTTTACGTTGCGACATCAAAGTTTCATCTGCTGCTGCTGCAAATGACATTGGTTGGGAAGTTTTACACTTCTTTTCTCTTGGCCTTGCTGATATTCTAGCCATTTTTAATGTGGTGTAATTTTGGCTGTTTATTAGTTTGATTTTGTAATGGATTGGTTTCCAATTCATTCTCATTGTAAAGAGGGGTATGCCCCTCTATTGTATTTGTACTTTTATTATTATTTTTAATTTATAAAATCAACCCATTCAGGAACAAAAAAGAATTAAGATCACGGACTTCCCACGAACCATGCATGAAACTGATTGCCTCTAAACCTAAACCAGAGGGATAGAACTATTTATTATCAATTATTAGAGAGTCAACTAAAAAACGTCAACATTGCAAATTATTGTTGTGAGTAACTTGAGAGAACAATCTATTTGAAGATAAACACGTAGCTAAATATCAAAAGTGCAACACGTGCCAACCAGAATCATAACAAAAAGTAGATATATTCACCAAAAACAAGATTGCTTGTACTTTTCACCTAATAAATTCGTAAATGCAATCCTTGGACTCTCAGCCATTGATTAATAAACATGTAACTTCATTTAGGAGATGCAATATATCACATAAAATTCTCAAAAGAGCAAGAAACGAAGTATACACAGATCATGGTTTTATCTAAAAATAAAATATGTTTATTTTCCAGATCATTACCTGCCTTTATAATATACATGGGTCCAAATCTGATCAAAACATTGAAATGCTCCTTTGGATTGATCCTTTGTGTGGTAAACCTGTCTATATTTTGAGTTTTGTCCATGATCTAGTGATACACAAAACACATAATTAACAGAGATTAATTAGTAAAATAATGACTGATAATTGAAACTTATAATAAACAAAGTTTGAAATACAAAGGTGAAGAGGGAATTGAATTCACAGCCAAAAAGTCAAAAATAAAGGAAGAAAGAGGGAGGGAATCCTACTATCATTAAAGAAAGAAAGAAAGAGAGACACGGGGAGATCTTACTATTTTTAGAACATTATATACTGGCCAAATGCTCTGAGATCATCGTCTCATGATTCCGTCTGCGTGCAAGGATTTGGACCTTTAGCCCATCATTTCCCATGCTCCTTTGATGTTCTTGAATTTCCCTCGCAGAGTTTTCAGCAGAGCAACAACAAAGCCGCAGTTGAATCATCTCTAGTGTAGATATATCTCCTAAACTGGATGGGATCTCCTCAAGTCTTGCACAGCTCTCTAATACCAATTTTTGAAGGTGGGGGAAGTGATTGCTAGAGGTATTCCACTGGCCAATATCCAAGGCTTGAAATTTCAAAAATCTGAGTTTGCAAAACTCCCCATCACAAGTATCCCATCTTGGACCCTTAAATGCATTGTAATATAATTTGAGAACCTCAAGGTTGGGTAACATCTCAAGGGTCGACATTTCCTCCCACCTTAGACCGACATGTGATAAAGTTAGGCTTCTGAGACTTGGGGGGAAATTATCCAGATGGAAAAACCTTTTGCAGTCGCTGGATATGACATTCAATGTTTCAAGGTGAATCAAAAAGTCCAGTTTAGGGAAATGATCCTCCCCATTCAACCTTTTCCTAATATGACATTTTAGTTTTTTGAGATTGGGAGTCCATTTCAAGGCTCGCTCCTCTCCACTATAAAGATGCAGTTTGCCTACTGTTTGTAGGTTACCCAATAAGAAAGCACGGCCATCATTGGGTATGCTAGTGAATTCAATAAGCCGTTTAGCTTTCAGATGCCTCAACTTCACTATCTTCCAGATATCATCTGATAAAACTAATGAACCTATTGGGCCTTCAAGAATAAGGGTTTCTAGGTTCAAGAGGTTGAATTTTGCTGGCAGGAAAATCTTTTGCTGTGCAACATGCAATGCTAAATACCTCAAAAGAACCAATTGTGTTATTCTCTCAGGAAAAAAAGAAATCTGGATGGATGATAAATCCAAAACCCTAAGAAGTATGAAATTTTGATAAACAAATGAAACATCATTTACAAATAAGTTACCCCATGAATTTGAACGACCAAAGGACAAGATAGAGCAGACCTTCGACGTAAAAGGATAATGTTGCAAAGAACTAAAATTGGCAAGTTCAGGATGTATGCACATGCGACGATGTTTATTTAAGATAATACTTAAAGAAGAAGAAGAAGAACCAAAAATCTGCTGAAAAATATTCCCTTCCTGAACTTTTTCAAAAATTTGTTGTTGTAAATTCTCTTCCTGAGGTTTTCCAAATATTTGCTCAAAGAATTTCCCTTCTTGAACCTTATCAGAAATTTTCTTAAGTAAATTCTCTTTTTGACCTTTTAGGGAAATCTGGTGAAGAAAATTATGTTCTTGAGCTTTTCTCAGGCACAAGTCACGCATGAGATCATGTACACAACACGCTTTGATTTCACCATTGGACCTTTTCTTCGAAACAATTACAAGACTTCTATCAATTAGATCCATCAAGTAATCCTCTGCCACTTCCTCCAAAGTCTTCTGCTCATTTTGCCATATAAATCCCTCAGCGACCCATAACCAGATCAATTTCTGCACTGGAATTTCATATTCTGTAAATGCTCCGAGATAGAGGAAGCATGCTTTCAAGTAGTAGGGCAACACATTGTAACTCAGTTCTAGTGTGTGCATGTATTGCTCTGGATCACTCACCATGTATGAACTTACACTTTCAGCAACATGCTTCCACCGTTCCAGTGTCTTGTCTTGTTTTGCCAGAAGCCCAGATATTGCAACAATTGCAAGGGGTAGTCCTCGACATTTTCTGGCAATTTGTTTTCCAATCTCCATCAACTCTAGAGGGCAGCTTTCTTTGCGAAATGTCTTCAATCGCAATAGATCCCAACTTTCATCTTCATTTAGAAAGCGCAAATGGTGAGGTTTAGCATGGAAAGCCACAGCCACATTTTCGTGTCTAGTGGTGAAAAGAATTCTACTGCCATTGTTGTCATTTGGAAGATATATTTTCAGATCTTTCAAAGGCTCCGAATTCCATATATCATCCATGACAATGAGATATCTCTTACCCTTTAAGAGTCTGTACAGATCTGCACCTAAGATTTTGTCATGCGTTTCACAAATATAATCTCTAGACTGGAAGGCGGAGCTTAAAATGGCAAGCAACAGATCCTTCTTTTGGTACACTTGAGACACATAGATCCATGCACGAATATAAAAGTGATATTCAATGAAAGAATCATTGTAAACCTTTTTGGCCAGAGTTGTCTTACCAAGTCCAGGCATCCCAATAATGGATATGCACTTTAGCTGCTTTTGATGTTCTTCAGTAAGCAGCTCCTTTATCGCCCTTGTTTCTTCATCGAGACCAACAACTATTTCTTCATGTACTATGGGCCTGATTGGTTTTGGTAAAGTTCCATGGGAAAACTTTCTGGATCGTGGGATTCCTGTCATGCCATAGAGCTGCTTATCATAAATTTCCTTCACCTCTGTTTTAATAGACTTAATGTCTTCTGTGACACTCCCAAAGCAACCACGAATTACAGTAGCCCACCAATCAAGCCATGGAAGACTCAAATTCCTTTCATAAATATTCATCATCTCCCTTTTCGTAGAAACAAAATTGACACTTGGATCACAAAGAAGATATTCTACAAATGTTTGTTCAAAGAAATTGAACCTGCCAAGAAATTCATCAGCCATTTGAGAATCAAGCGATGTAACACTCGATGCCTTCTCATAAATCGTCATCACCTTTTTCTTGGTACGCTGGATCACCGTCGAGGGAGTGAAAAGTACATATGAAATTCCCTTAACCATGTCCGCCGTCTCTTGGGACAAACTGACGAGGAGATGAATGTCACCAGCGATGTCAAATTCAGGCCAAGTTGTACTCAGTTGCTTCGTCATGTCTTCATTAATCTCTCCTATGAGACTGCTAAACAATTCACGAATTCTTTTAGTCCGATAGAGCATCATTTCGGACAATTTGAAGAGAAAACGGAATTCATCAGGCATGTCAGACTCAAGCCATGTGATAATTAGTCTTTTTCTCATCTCCTTTTGCAGAGGTTTCTTCCAATCTGTCTCAAGCTCAGAACTCCGCATGACATCCATCTTGGTACGCTTAATATCTTCTATAATATCACGAAAGCAATCAACATTAATTTTCTCAGCAACCAATTGAGACTCAATCGACGAGAGAAGGGTTATTGCCAGTGTTCTAAAGTCCTTGACAAAATCTATCTCTCGTGTGATAGTTTTATAGCGGTCATAGATCTTCTCGGCCAGGTCAGCCATCGTCCTGGACAAACTGAGGACAAGCACATTAGCAAAGACTCGTGTATGTTTGTGCAACACAGCATTGAGGACTAGCGAATCCATTGTGTCATCAACTTGGCAAGTCACAACTCTGATTTTTGAGACAAGTCGTTTCAGCTGCTTATTACCCATCTCTCCTGATGAATCTTTGAGAAACTTTCGAAGGAATTGCATATCCTCGTAAAACAATTGGATTTGGTCCTTGTCTATGAGTTTCTTCTCAAAAGCCTCGAGAATCAACTGGTCATCCGAGCTTATTAGTTGCTGTGTCATCTTCCCCAACAGAAAGTCCACAACAGCAGTAGTGTCTGTCATCTTCAAAATGCACAAACAAACTGCTAGAATGATCTATCACTTTGAAACCCCACAATGAGCTTCGATTTTAGCTGAAGCTATTTGTTTTTCTTGACTAATTGAACTCATACGCGTAACAGACCGGATTGAGATGTCCCTGTTTGTTGCTAGGATCAGAGAAGATCATGCATATCAGGGTTGATTACACAATCGAAGTAGTAATTTAGCTATCAAATTAACCAACTCACTTAGCTCTATAAAACTAAACTAAACTAAAATTTCTACATAACACAATCAAAGCAGAAATTTAGCTAACAAATTAACCAACTCACTTAGCTCTATGAAACAAAACTAAAATTTCTGCATAACACAAATAAAACAGTAATTTAGCTAACAAATTAACCAAGTCACTTGGCTCTATTAAACAAAATTAAATAAAACTAAGCTAAACTAAAATTTCTACATATAGGCTTTATAGCAGGTACCCATATATATATAGAGAGAGAGAGAGAGGTAGTAAATCGTACCCTTTTGGTGTTAGATTTGTGCTATCGATAGAAAGAAATTTGGACGATCGTACACAGAAATTGGGGCAATCCACATGGCGTTCAATGTTGGAAAGCTCTAGAGAGAGAAAATAGTGACATTTGTAGTGAGAGAGATTTATTGTAAAGGGGATTTTGTTGAAAAGATAATGGTGTAGGCTGCTGTGGCCTGCTCTGCTTCACACATGGCAACTCCTCCATCCAAATGCTCTCTGGCTTGTGAGTGAGTACCTTTTCTTTGTGGGGCTCTCTATAACCAACAAGATATCTTTCTTTATCGACGTTGCCATATATACATACAGACATATACATCAATATGTGAATATATAAATATATATATCTACATACAAACCACTTGAGAAGCATCCATCAATGATGAGTCAAATTGAAGCCTAAGAAGAGAGTTTCGACCCTGCTTCATGAGCCAAAAATTAATACTTATATACAAGAAATCTAATCGAAGGGTTTGAGGGAGAGTGGAGAGGCAAAGGCCGAAGAGAGGGTTAGGATACCTCATCAATCAATCTGATATATTCCTAATGGACAGGCAAAGGGACGAAGGATTCAGTCGTTGTTTTTGCAGTTAGAAAAAATAAATAAATAAAATTATTCCACCCTATATCCGGAATCTAAGTTTACGTTTTTCTAACTTCAAAAATAACGCAATTATTTCACAACAATTAAAAATAAAAAAAAAAATGAAATGAGAGTAAAATATTATTAACAATTATTCTCTAAAATACAATTCAGCCTAATATTATTCCAACACCAAAGCCCCTGTAGAATAAATTTCTAGTAAAATAAATAAATAAAATTATTCCACCCTATATCCGGAATCTAAGTTTACTTTTTCTATCTAAAAAAATAACGCAATTATTTCACAACACTAAAAAAAAAAAATTTGAAATGAGAGTAAAATATTATTAACAATTATTCTCTGAAATACAATTAGGCCTAGTTTGGTGCAATGGAATGAGCTGGAATGGAATGACCATTCCACTTTCTGATTCCGTTTCTCTTGTTTGGTGTATCACATTAAAGTGGAATATCCATTCCATAAAAAAGGTGGAATGTCCATTCCTCTTTTTAAGATATGGAATGACCATTCCATTCCCACTCATTCCTATTAATAAAATAATTAAAAAAATCAAAGACAAAAAATACCCTTTTTTGGCTTCGTTTCAAGCAGAGATCTACCACCAAGGTCTCTCTCTCTCTCTGCGATACCAAAAATCCTTTTGAATTTGTTTCAGACAAATCTACCTACAGGGTTGCTCTCTCTCTACGACACCTTTGCTCTCCCTCTTTCTTTATAGGAGTCGACCTATCTAACGCTTGCGGCCACCGTCAGTAACAACATCGGCAAAGTCCTCCAAAAGAAGGGCACCATCATTCTTCCCCCTCTCTCTTTCAAGATCAAGGCACGTTCAATTGCTTACTTTACATATATATATACATTTATTTATATATCTTTCTATATATCTGAGTAGTTTCATTTTGGGTTTTTGTGAATCATTTTGCTTTTCTTTGTCTCTCACTTTTATTGATTGGAAAATTTGTATATATATACATGTATCATCTTCCTCTCTCTCTCTCTCTCTCACCGGTTAGTTGTCATCGGCAAAGTCCTCCAAAAGAATGGGTTATTAATGTTAATCAATTAAGCGAATAATGAAATTTGATGAATTCTGAATGGGATGTTGTGGTGAGTTATATATGCTTACAACATGGGTTTGTCACTGTACATTATTCATTTTTGTATTTAGTTTTGGGGACTTGAGAGAGAGGATGGAATAGCTTGTTGTGGTGTGACAAATAGGATTATAACTAATTGATTCATGGTAGAAGAAAACACGAGATCTGATTCTTTCACTAGGGTTTAGGTGTTGAATTTCTAGATACACTATGATTTTTTAATTCTATATCTGTGAAATTTCGCAGTTTGATGATTTTAATGATTGATTTGTGCTTAGTCGAGTTTGATTAGTTGATTATGATTTATTTTTTGATTGATTCTATTGCGTTCTAAGCTATATCTTCTGCTAGATTGATCTAATGTACTTTTTTGCGGGCAAATGATTTTACAAACTTCGATGTGGTGATTTATGATCTGATTTTGAGGAAATACATATACATATATGTTTTGGATTTTTTTAGGAAAAGGAAAACTTTTTATGAATGTGCCTCCAAAGTGGTATTTTTTTTTTTTTTTCATGGCTAAAAAATAAAATAATATTAGATGAAAGAAACATAATACATCAATCCAGTGCTGCTACAGAGGCCAATTCCAACACTTCTACTGGAAAAGCATTATCAATTGACATTATTAGTCCTGTTGTGTAAAGCCAGGATCCTAAACTATGAGCCACAACATTTGCTTCTATGTAGATTGACTGCAATTTGAATTCCTCTTGGACCATCTGCCAGTTGCAGATGTCTAACACTACTGTACGAAGATGAGTGGGAGCCCCCTGGACCTCCTCACTTCAGCGTTAAAACCTCAATCTTGAGCAAGACTAAAATCCATTTGACCCCCCTTTTCCTTGGGGAGTATAAATTGAAACACCCAATGTGTCAACTTTGTAATTTGCAACACTTTTTCACAGTTCCACAATCTTCCTATGACTTTACGTAGAGTAAAGATATTTGCAGTTTTGTTGGTAATGTGGTACCAACATTTTTACCCTCCTTAATATCATTAACAAGAAATTCAATAGCTTCTTCCTCGTCAAAGGATAATGAAGAACTCTAAACTTACTGCAATAAATCTTCATTCTTCATTCACGGTTAAGAACTAATCCCCATGCACACTCCTCCTGTATAATTTACTGGATGCAATACAACCCCAAGTCTCACATTAACGCATGAGAACCCCTCTGGCTACTGCCAAGAGAAAAAACTCATAGGGACAAGCAATACGTGAGTTTAAAGCGAAACCCTCATCCATCCTTCTTCTGCAGTTCAAATTTTAGGTAAAGATGAGGTCCTTAATTTTGTTTCATTTTGTGCATTTTTATGCTTTCCTCCACATACCATAGTTTGATATTGTAGAGCATTCATGAATAATTTAAATCTATGTGATGGAGCAACTGTTGATTGTCCTTCCAGGTCAGAGGGATTTACACATTTTACTATTTTTTGTGTGATGGTTTTTTATTTAGGAAAATGATGTGCTCTAATCTCTATATGTTTGATGTGTTTGCTTAGAAGATAAAGGTGTTTCTGCAGTATTCTAGTGTCTGTTGTGCTGCTGTTTTCTATATAAATTGTTACTCAGGATATTGCTAATGTCACTTGACTAGTGTGTCATTCCAATTTTCCCAGTATAATTGCAGAATTATAGTGAATACTACTATGATATTTTAATCCTTTTATGCATTCAAATTTTGTTAGACCCATTGGAAGAAAGTTTAGAAGCTTAGGAACAAGTGGTAACTGAAGCACATAGAGAAACTATTATGACGATCGAAACATCAAATGAATGGAGTACTTGGAGAGATAACTTAGCTACTCATATGTTTGATGAATGGAGGGCGAGGAGACAAGGGAGATGAATTTTTTTTTTTTTTTTTTTTTTTTTAAACTTGTGTTTTCTTATCTCATTTTAGATTTTGAGTTGCACTTTAAGAAATGTAACGTTACTTGAAATGTCAGTATGTGTCTGTGTTCCATGTACTTATTTGTAGTTCTATAAATGCTACTTAGGCTTTTGGATATAGTTTTTGGATGAACTAAGTAGTTTTATGGTGTTAAGTAAACTATGGTTCCTTGTTTCGGATTCATGCTTGTGGTGTTTGGTAGTGCTATACTTTTGAATCTACAAATGCCATTAATTTGGTCTTGTGTTCCAAAACATGTACCAGCTTGTCAAGATTTGATCTCTAGCCCAAGCTTGAATATGGTTTTTGATGCACGCTAGTGGTGTTTGACAGTTTGTGCAATATTGAATTGCCAGGAGGACATTTTGTTTAGCAGCTATTTAAAAATATTGTCGACTCCCAGCTTATGCATTTTAGTTATCAATGATATATTTATTGTTTAAGGATCTTCTACTAATTTTTTTATTGTTAAATGCAGTCACAATTTCTATTTTCTAATGAATACCACTGCTAAACATTTTTTATCAACACCCATATTTTAAAGTGAAATTGTACAATATTTGATATGTCTTTTTACTTTAATATAATGTTTATAGAATAATAGTTAAGTTTAGACAACAAGAAGTTTAGTTTTGTGTTTTATTATTGCCCAGTATATTTTTTTGAAAAAAGGTAACTGCTCTTTCAAAGCCTTTCAAAATTGCTACAAATTTCATTACTTATAAAAAAGTAATTATTTTTTAGGGCTCTAATACGATGGGTTCACAATAAATAAAAACAATTATTTGTGAGGTCTCGGGTTCACAACAAATTGTTAGTCTTTTCTTAAATTTTTAATAGATTTTCTTGAATCAAGATTTTTGTACATTTTTCTTACATTTTGTAATATAATTATAATTTTCATAGATTTTACAAAAATGTATTAGTTGGTATAAGCTAGTTATATTTTATTCCATTTTAAAATAATAAAATATGCCATTTCGTTAGTATAATTGATATATTATAAGTAAGGGTATTTTGGAGAAACTAATTTAAAAGTTATTCCATTCCAGCTTATTAATTGGTCTAACCAAACAGGGGAATGGGAATAGTCATTCCATTACTGCATCATTTTCTGTTTGCAGCCAAATAGTGGAATGAGAATCATCATTCCATTCCTACATCATTCCCATTCCATTCCTACTTGCATTCCATTCCTGCCTCATTCCATTCCTGTGCACCAAACATACCCTTAGGGCTACAAGTTGGACTGGGTCAACTCAACCCAGTCCGAACCCAACCTCAACTCGAATCGGGTTGGGTTGGATAAGACCGAATTATACCCAACGTGGGTTATGGTCATAACCCAACCCGAATATTTTCGGACGGGTTGGGTCGGGTTGAGTTTTTTTTTTTTTTTTTTTAAATTTCGGAAACTTATATATATATATATATATATATTATATTTGATTATATTATTATTAAAAAACAAATTATAGATATATATATATATATATATATATATATATATTATATTTTATTTAGGGCAAATCATTTTAGCCTCCCCAGTTGCCTCCATCTCTATTCTCTCTGACACACAACTGCAAACTCCAAACACACTGACACACACACACAATAATACATAAATCTGTGTAGACAGAAAGAGAGTAAGAACCAGGGCTAAGTTTTTGCATTGTCGATTGAATTAAAGAATTGCCCTAAATTTTCAACATGTGTGTAGAACTAAAGAGTAAAGAAGATATATACAATCACACTGGCGCACACATGCACATTTATATATACATGAATATACAAATTGCTGCGTAAAGAGACAGAGAAGGAGAAGAGCCGAGCCTAAATTTCCAATGGATTTTACTTCTCCTGAGAACTTTTCTGATCAAATCGTATTTGATGACTAAGGAGTTAAGAGATATATACATACACACACACATATATATATATGCTTGTATATATATGAACAAACACACATACATACATACATATATATATATATATATATATATTTATATATATGAATGAATATATAAATCTGTATAGAATAGAGAGAGGGAGGGAGAACCAGGGCTAAATTTTCGATTTCTTCAAAGAACTGCTCCAATCAAACCATATATGTACAAACACATACACATATATTCATACAAAGAATATATAGAACTAGATATATGCAA